TTGAATTAGTGGTATAAACAATTTCTTGGAAATAACAGCCCCAAGTAGAGAACACTAAAAAGCTCTAAAAGCACCACTAATGAGGTGTGAAAGTTATAAGGGAAAAAAAAAAAAAAAAAAAAACAACAACAACAACAACAACAACAAAACAAAAGTCAAACTATCAATTTTAAAAAATAATTAATTAATAATTAATTAGTGATGTTGGTTTTCAAAAAATAATTAATTAATAATAAATTTTATTAATTTTAATAATTAAAATGACAAATTACACTAACGATTCCTATAGTTTAAATCTTATGTCACTTTGATTATTCATTTTTAATTGTGACATATTTGACTCTAAATTTTAAATCTTGTTTTAAATAAGGACAATTGAAGATATCATTGCTTAATTTTAAGTGCAAAGTCATTAATTTGATAAAATATAAACTAATTTGACAAAAATAAATGTCAAAAAAATATTTTGTGAATTTTTAAAAATTATGGCGAATTACACTAACAGTCCTTATAGTTTGAGATTCGTGTCAGTTTGGTCTATGACTTTTCAATTGTGACACATTTGACTTTGAATTTTGAATCTTATTCCAAATAAGGACAATTGAAGATACCATTGCTTAATTTCAAGGGCAAAATTGTCAATTCGATAAAATATAAACTAATTTGACAAAAATAAATGCCAAAAAAATATTTTTAAAATTTTAAATTTATTTCTACCCATTAAAGATAAAATCATATAAAATTGAAATTTTTTTTACACATTTATTTATTTTACAAAATTAATTTTTATTATGTGTTTGGATGATGATTATATAATGGATGGTTGTTAGAATTATAATGTGTAATTGATATATTTAATATATGAAATGTTTTTAATTTTGGATTTTGGATTTGATGAATTGATTTAATAATGATATTAAAGTTGTCGCCATATTTAACTTTTGAAAAAATAAAAACTAATTTAATGAAAATAAAAACTACTTGTTACATGATCATCATCCAAACACATAGTAAAAATTAATTTGATATAAATAAATAAATAAATATATATATGTCTAAAAGATTTATCAATTTTACATAATTTTATCTTTAGTGGGTAGAAATAATTTTTAAATATTAAAAAAAAATTTGACATTTATTTTTATCAAATTAATTTGTATTTTATCAAATCGATGATTTTGTCCTTGAAATTAAGCAATAGTATATTCAATTGTCCTTATTTGGAACAAAATTAAAAAATATGGGTCAAGTATGTCGCAATTGAAAAGTCAGAGACCAAAGTGACACAAGCCCCAAACTATAAGGTCCGTTACTGTAATTTTCCCTAAAAATTAGTTATATCCACTAAAGATAAAATTATGTGAATTGATAAATCTTTTAAATATTTGTTTATTTATTTTTACTAAATTAAATTTTGGCTCCCTTTGGCAAGAGCTAAACGGCGCTTTTTTGGCTATTTTAGTCACAAAAGACAAAATAGGCTATTTTAGCCACAAAAAATAAAATATCACATCCAAAAAGTCAAAAAAAGTCAAAAAAAGTCAAAAAAGTCAAAAAGCCCTTCCCAAACCAAACTTTTTAGCCCAGGCTAAAATAGCCAAAAAGTTAAAAAGTCAAAAAGTCAACCCACTTTCCAAACGGAGACTTTATTATGTGTTTGAATGATAATCATGTAATGAGTGATTGTTTTTATTTTTATTTAATTAGTTTTTATTTTTTTAAATGTCAAATATGACCATAATTTTGATATTATTATTAAACCAATCTTTTAAATCAAAAAAATGCAACACTAAAAATATTTCATATATTAAATATATTGATTATATATTAAAAGTTTCACAACCACCCATTGCATAATCATCGTTCAAATACATAATAAAAATTAATTTAGTAAAAAAAAAAATAATAAATAAATATCTAAAAGATTTATCAATTTTACATAATTTATCTTTGATGTGTAGAAATAATTTTTTAAAATTTAAAACATTTTTTTAATATTTATTTTTGTCAAAAAAGTTTATATTTTATCAAATTAACGACTTTGTCTTTAAAGTTAAGTAACGATATTTGTAATTATCTTTATTTAGAATAAGATTTAAAATTTAAAACTAAATGTGTCATTGATAAGTCAAAAATTAAAGTGATACGTGTCTCAAATTATAAGAATTGTTAGTATAATTTACTCCAATTAAAATTATAAATTTGTTTATAAATTTATAAATATTTTGAAAAATCTGAGCTGATCTGTAATTTGCTCTTGCGTTTTTCTACAAACCAAACCAGTAAACAAAGACGGGGTACGGTTCCTATGCAGTGTTTTTTTGGCCAAAGTACACAAAAAAAACAAAAGATTGAAAAGAAGCTTTTACACTACTATGGGAAATGTGTGTACCATTCATATAAAGCATTTTATTTTATTATTTTATTTTTTGTTTAGTTTAATTTTGGAAGATAAGTTTTTAAAAAATATTTTAAGTAGAGAGTTTAAAATTTTTTTGTAATTTTTTTAATTATATGTTTTAAAAATAATTTTAGAGTTTATGAATTTAGAATGATTTGAAAGGCACGTATTTTTTTTTGAACGTAAATAAAACAGACTGAAATAATTCATTCTGGAAGCTGTGTTTGCAAAGTGATTTGATTTGATTGAAGATCATTATACTCTATCAGAGCCTAGTAACAGCACCTATAGAGTAGAAAATATCAGAAGAAAGAGACAAGACAAAAAGAAAATAGAGGGAAAAAAGCAGTGAGAGAAGAAAGGAGAGCTTGTTCAAAAAAAAAAAAAAAAAGAAAAAAAAGAAAGGAGAGAGAGAGAGAGGGAATAGAGGGAGAACGTGAGGGGAGTTTGGTCGTACTGAAGAGAGAGAGACTGAGGGACGAATGAAGGTGGGTGAGAGGGCTAATTATTTAATAATTTAAGAATATAGATATGTGATATTTTATAATATTATTAGCGTATGCCCGTGCCTAAAGGCGCGGTGTAAATAATATTAAAATTAAAATGCAGTTATAAAAATATATTTAACAGATTGCACTCTACAATTCCAAACAAATCAAATATAAAAAAAAATTAAAATATCAAATAATGCACAATAGCCAGTGCTCTGTAATTTAAAATAAATTAAAACTTAAATGCACACCAGTTAGTGCTACTACTGCTAATCAAATTATAACTACATAAGAACCAAGTTTGACTGACAAAAAATAAAAATAAATAAATAAAATAAAATCCCAATCAACAAATCCAATTGTATAATTGCATTGTGTCATGATCTAGAACCAAGTTTGACTTAAAGGTTTTTTAAGATTTTGTGAAAATTTGAGAACAGAGATTTAGAGGGCTGCAATCCATCACATTCTTACAGTATATTGGCATAGTTTTTAAATTTCTTTTGTTTGGAAACCGACCAATAACAATAGACGAAAAGATAATCAAGTGGTTTACTATTAAATCTAGGATTACATCTCTTTTTAAGACAGGTCCCTAGGTAATCAATTAATTTCAATCAAAGAAGATAGAGAAATAATTGTTGGATATGAGTATGCTAACAATTGTTAAATGCAAAGCAAAGCACCAACCAACAAACTCAACTTTAGAGAAAGTTTCGGATGTGTAATGACTTCACATCAACCATCTCCTCATCCTTAAATTCCTCCCTGAAATATATCGAAAGCATTCCATCAATTAACCATAAAAAATAATAAAATAATAATAATAAATAAATAAATAAAAACTGTATACAACAAATGTTAATGGTGTAGACAAATGCATAGTAATTGAAGGGGAACACTAACACACTGGGTATAATAATGTTTCCAATGCTAGATATTGATAATGTTAATGGTTTGTTGATAGCATTGGAAACAATATCAATATCTGGCTTGTAGTCCTTCTCATTGACACCCATAACAAACATGGGAGCATCCTTACTTGGAGCAGAAATGACAACCTTCTTTGCACCACCCTGGTGATTAAAAAAAAATCAAGAGCAATACTATCAACAAACCATGTCGTCATGAACATTTGCAAGCCAACAAAATAACGAACATTGCCCAATTGAGCATAACATGTCAAGTCAAAATTCATGAGTGGGGCATTGTACCAGCACTGGTATTTTAGCCAAAGAAGAAAACAGATTCAACATGCAACACGTCCACTTAAAGAAATAAAAGAACCAGAAATCAATATTGATGAAAGCAAGACAAATATATCTCTTCAACTATATCAGAGAAAGTATGCACACAAATCAAAATATCAATCCAGAAAGCAGAAAAATAAAGGCAAACCTTCAAGTGCGCAGCAGCTTTGTCCTTATCAGTAAAAACTCCAGTGGACTTAACAACATATTCAGCTCCAGCTTCACCCCATGGGATCTCCTCTGGGTTCCTAAATAAAATCAAAAAATAAATTATTAATAATCAAAGGGTGCCATTTTGAAAATAAAATGAAATATAAAGATAGCAAAATCAGCTTATAATACCTCATACCAAAGACTGCGACGGGTTTGTCACCAAAGAGAAGGGTCTTAGAATCCTGAACCTTAAGCTCATTTTTTTCCCATTGACCATGAACACTATCATTCTTAAACATATAGGTCTGTACAACACAAAACCAAAATTAAGTTAGCTGAAGATGGATGTCCTAATGGATTTCATGGCCAAATGATACCTTGTGGCCACTGTAGCAGATATCAAGGTTCAAAAATCCCATTGTCCATGATAGAAAGTAAAAAAACCAAAAAGGATATGCATTGCAAAGGGAAATGCACCATGCTTTGTTGCAGAAAGACTCATTTTAAGACATTTTCAAAAAGCCTCTTGCCTTATTATATAGATCGTGATAGTGTCGTGTCCCAACCTGTGATCTTTTTTTGTATTCAACTTTTTCATCTTTGGAGGTGGGGTCAAGTTTACCACCACCATCACAAACTGACGCACGTTCTTCAATTTTATTTTTTTTTTAGCCCAAAATAATGTCATTTTGGGATGTTACGGTTAAGATTATACCTAAACTGTTGGATCATCTCTTTAATAACATGCCCTGCTGTGATTAGAAGTATAGTAAAATCATAGCAGAGACTTGCACAACAAAGAATCAAAATCCATTTCATAGTTAATTTTGAAATTAGGATAAATTACACTAATCTCCCGTCAAGATTGAAAAATATATATATATATATATATAGTACACTCAATCCTTTTTTCATCAAAAAATCATTAATTGTACAAATGAAAAAATGATATCATCTTTGTGTTTTCATACCATTTGCATTAGTTTTGGTCTCTTTAACCTTATTAACAAAAAAGTCAATGTAATTATATCAAAACTGTAGGATTTGCTATATTTTCTTCAAACCTCAATAGAGGTCAGTGTAATTTACCCTTGAAATTAAGATTGAGGTTGACATGTCTATCTCATGGATGAGATTGACCAGTTTGTTCTTGAGTGAATCTTAATGAGGGTTCAAGGTGTTTCATCTTATTATCAAGTTGAGCTCAAAGAATTATTAAGCGTCAAAATAAAATAATATTTCACCTCATCAATCTCATCAACCAGACTTTAAGTATTGCACCATGACCATGATTTTCATTTTGAGTTCCATATTCATTTCCCTCACATAACTAAGCATGTAAAATAATTCAATTGTCACAAAGCTATTTCAAGATACAACATACATGCAACAAATATTCGGGTAAGACACGGCTCCTACAAAGTGTTGCATGTTTTCAACTTGGATCAGCAAAAAATGAATTTCAATAGTTCCCGGATTACCTATTAAAAGAGGAAACGATTGGCATGAGAATTTTCTAAGATAGATTTTCAATTCTGAGATATAATTTTCATTTCACCACGGCAAGAGATGAACTTTCAAATTAAAGGTGAGGGATTAAAATGAGGAAAATCACTCACAGTCGTTCTCTTGCCAAGTTCAGGTATCAGCTGGAGCAACAAAATGCTCTTCTTCCTGCTTCTTGTGATCTATTAAGCAGTTTCATTCCCGCTGGCCTTGAAGGGGAAGCTTTTGCCAATCTCTTTGCTGCAAGAATTACTAAAAATAAGCACATAACATAAACCCTGCACGCAAACTTGACCCATGGACAACGATTGCCACACCAACACATTCAATACATGGAAACAACAGTATTAACAATGTTACATGGACACAGTTACAGATGCAGGTGTGGATGCAAATTTTAGATGTCAGAGCAATCAAAATTCTAATTAAAGGGTATGCTGACTTAGCAGAAAAGGGTCATATATTCATATTTTTAATTTATTTTGTAGGATAAAATGGTGTTTTATGAAAGATAAGAGCATAAAAAATAAATAAATAAAAAGAAGACATTTTACTCATTTTATAGCAATTAAGCAACAAAATATATCTATAATGACAGTTTTGAATACAATTATGTAAGAAGTGTTTGATGGAAAGTATCGAATACATATGGCACACCTTTATTCAAGTGTCAAGTGTTTGACACGAGACATTTGATTTATTTTGAACAGTCCATGTAACATGGAGTAATAAAAAACCATAACCATCCATCCTATAACCACTTCATTTATTAATTCAAAATAATGTAAAACATCTTCTTTGACTAATTTGCTGGTTGATAAGCAGTAGTACCAAATATAAATCCATGTGTATGTGTGGAGAGAGAGAGAGAGAGAGAACACTCCTCATATCAGTCAACCAACTCATATCAGTCATAAAGAGATTTTGCAATGCATTTTCTATTTCATAAAGAGACTAAACATACCCTTAATGCCAAATGATAAGAGATATAATCACCTATTTCATAAAAAAGCTCATTAACATACCCAACCTGCAACATTAAGGATTTCAACAGGTGTCTACCGTAACCTAGCAAAAGTATCAACGTAAACATCATATCATGTATTAAAAAAAAAAATTGTTATTGATTATCCGAGAGTTCTGTATGGTATCTGAGCATTCATAGTTTCGGGACCATCTGGTTTGCATTTCCTTTCACATCCATTTGTTATTCTCATTTCCTTCTTCATGTGGCTGCTTCCACTGTATTTGCTACTTCTTTCTAACTCTCTTATCTTCGCTACACTCTTCAAAATACCAAGAAAGGTTTTAGCGCTCTTGGCTAATATTTAATGGCAATCAAAGGTTTTAGTTTATTTGGATGCTATGATGTCCCTATGCATTTGCAGCTATGAACATCTCCTCCAATCAACAGTCGTTTCCAAATATGGGTGCCTCAAAACACACAACTTAAGAGATAAAATCCCTCTATTCTCACACAAACTACTCCGGAAAATGACACCATTCATGTTGAAAATAACAACCATCTTCCCTTTTGTTAGGTTTTTTCTTGGCAATCCCGTTTGACAAAACTCCTTTGAGTTGTAATTTTCTTCGCACTTTTATTTCAGTGAGGCTATGAGTTGTTAGATGCCGAATCCAACCCGAATTGTGCCTTGCAGAGAAGTTTGTGATGTTAATACTTTCAAGATTGCCACTTCGCTGATTATGACGGGGATCGAGCTGACCGGGGCAGCGCCACGGCGGGGTCTAGGGGACAACGCCCCTTGGCGAGTCCGGGGCAGCGCCATGGCGGGGTCGAGGGGCAGCGCCCCCGAAGTAAAATGCAAAATTGCATTCAAAGTTGCATGTCCGCCCTTGCTCCCTCGAGCGAAGGAGTCCTCGCTCGAGCGAAAACTGCGTCTGGCAAAAAACCTGAAAGAGATGAATGTGCGAGCGAAGCTTGCGTGGCTTGAGCGAAGCCACTTATGAAAAACACGCGTTTTTGGTTCCTCGCTTTAGCGAGAAAGTCTTCGCTCGAGCGAGCCTCGCAGTTCCAGATTTCTATAAGTACGGGTTTCTGTCAGATTTTAGGATTACTTCTTCAGATCTTAGGATTACTGCTCTAGATCTTCTTCTTGGGTTCTAGGGTTTATATCTGGGGATATTTTACTAGTTTTCTTTGATGTTTTGATTGAGTATTCAACTCATGGTTTAAAGAGTATACATCAAAGGATTATTTGTTTGTTCTACACAAAAGAGAGAGTTGTTCTTCAGTGGATTCTGAAGAATTCGAGCCTGAAGCTTTGGTGGATTCTGGAGTGGCTCATTGTCAAGACAATTCCGAGGTGAAGACAGGGTTAGAAGAGGCACATAGGGGTTGGTTCAATTCGGGCGTGGATTCGCTAGGTAATTGAGAGTATACCTCTGTAATTCCTTTAAATCTTCTTAGTTGATTGTTTTGTGGCTGTTGCCCGTGGTTTTTTAATCACAGTTGGAGATGTCCATTTGATTGTTTGATTGGGATTGTTATATTCTGCTTAAAATTGATACATAATCACAAATCAACATCTAGGGGATTTCTAGATTTTTTCACCTTTTTTCTCACGTTGGTCGTACTTCTCTTCAAACTCACTACTCCTCACTTCTTAAAAACAGTTTGCATGTTGCTGATATTATAAAGAACTTGGTTCTTATTGCTCAACTCACGCATTATCTTGCTCATTTATTTTTGCTTCCTCCAGCTTTGTGATAAACGAACTGTAAAGCAGGGAAAGTTATGTTCTCCAGGAATGTTGCAATTGGACTCACAACTAAAGAAGAAACTTGCAATTGCTGATTTCTTCAGGAATGTTGCCAACCAGTTTGAGATTACGCAAATCCAGAACCTCAAGCAATTCAATGCTCCCAAACCCTGCTGGAACAGTTCCATCAACCGAATTATTCCCCAATTGAAAAGCCAAAAGACTCTTCAAACCCACAGCCTCAATTGGAATACTCCCATTCAGACTGTTAAACCCCAAATCCAAGAATTTAAGGACATTGCAATTTGATATGCTCAATGGGATCTCCCATATGCTCAAAAGCCTCATCATATCACTTTGTGTACAATAAACCCATTTGGGGGAAGTTTTGAATTGAGGTTCACAATTAAAATTGTTAAACTGTTAATCACTGTACAAAACAATACACTTTATAGTGATTATGGTGGGTTTTATAGGCAATAAATTATCATAAATTATCATAAACGGGGGGAAATGTATTGGGAATTCAAAAAATCTAACCCACCACATTGAAAATGCAATGGAAAGTTTAAATAAAACTTGTAACTGATGAAAGTCTAAACTCTAAAACTATCAAGTATTCCAAATATTCCAAATAAAACTAAGCACGGAGCCAACTAATAAAAAATCAGGATGATCAAGTAAATTAAGTAAATTCAGCCATAGTCTTTACCTGCATGTTCATATTCAGATTCATGTTCAAAATCTGATAGGACTTTGATGTGTTGGTTGTTTGGTTAACACATAATCCTCCTCCTTTGTCTAGGCTAGGGACTAACAATGTTGAAAAACAATGCCGGTGGAGTTTTATCCTTCCGTAAATTCTCTGCAAATAAAACCAATGAATATCAGTATTGGAGTTGGTCATCATTGTTGTTATTGTCATTATTATTATTATGAGGAGGAGGAGGAGGAGGAGGATTATTATTATTATTATTATTAGTACTACTTATGGATTATCTTTGTTGGCAAGTTTGCGAATGAGTTCATTTGGGTATACAGTTGTATTCTTTGTATCAAATGATGATAGAATTTCAAACGGGAGCTCCTCAGGCGTTGGAACGTCGAAGTCTGTGATAAAACCTTCATACATTAGTTACATGCTTCATGCCATCAATTTTGATTTACAGAGTATATTCCTTCTTACTTTTATGCTTTGTTGGGTTTCCATCTATGTTGCCATATAAGGGTGGGGAAATTTTAAATGAACTTCAAACTTATCAACTACCTAAGGAGATTTAATTGCCGAGTGATTCACTGACACCTAAAGTCTGAAACAAAATTATATATATTTGGTGAATATATAGATATGGTATTTTTTTTTTTATTTGTTATCTTTTATTGGAGTAAAAGTGTTGTGAAAATAGGTGAAATGGTTAGGAAGTGTTCTAATTTCAATGAAAAGTGTAATTGAATTCAAGAAAAAATATATTGAATTCAATAAATAGTGTATTATGTTTCTTTTTATATTTTTCATGTGCTTTAGTGGCACTTGTTAGTAAGAGACTCATAAATCTAAATAGTTACTTAAACAAAAACTTTCCTTTATAACATGAATATCATATACAGCAAGTTGGCAACCATAAACTCAACCTAAACATTTTTTTTTATATATTATATTCCTGAATATGCACATTTATTAGAGGTGGTGACAGATTGGTGCATATTTCTGAATATGCACATTTTTTTTATATATTATATTTCTGAATATGCACATTTATTAGAGGTGGTGACAGATTGGTGGTTATGACAGATTGGTGGTTATGGCTATTAGATAGTGGTGATGATAATAGTTGTGGGTGGTAGCATTGAGAGTAGTGGGGATGTCGATGGTGGTGGTAAGGTAGAGCAGGGTGACGGCTACCAAACGTTACCAAAGAAATAAGAACCAAAGTGCGAGGGTTACAAATGACTACACCATGAATCAAATGAGGCACCAAAGCGAAACAGAGAGAGAAGGGGAGAGGCAGAAATCGATATTACCTTGCTAGCTGAGTTCGAGAGCATCTAGAGGGAGGGTTGCGATTCGATTTTCAGAACCTTGAAGCCACCGAAACAGATTCTAAGTTCGGAAAAAAATACTTTCCATACTTTTCCATTTAAAAAAATTGAGCAGAATGTTTGAATACAAAATAAAAATAGAGCAGATTGTTTGTATACAAAAGAAGAACCTAACAGATTCTAAGTTTGGAAAAAAAAAAATGCTTTCCATTTACAAATACCCATTTATAAAAATAGATCAGATTGTTTAAATACTAAATAAAAAAAAAATCAAACTTTGAATACAAACTTTGAATAATGTTCAGATTAGAAAATAATGTTAAGATTAGAGAGATACAAACCAGAAATCGAGATGCAAAAATCGAACTTTGAATGAATACATTTGCTATGAATCTGTTAGGTTTGAATGAACACATTTGCTACAGAATAAAACCCAAGTTTCCATTACAATCTGAACCCAATAGATACTTTTCCATTACAAATAGTTTTCCATTTTAAAAATCAAACAGATGAGAGAGGGAAATCGTAAAAATAGAGCAGGGAAAAGGGGGAGAGACAGAAATGGAGGACATCTTACCTTGCGAGCCGAGCGAAATCGAACCCTTGCGAGTAGTGATGATGAGCAGCGGCGAAAGCAGAAATCGACTACCCTAAGGCAGCAACAAAAATATTTCAATAACAGAGGAGAGAGGGAACCTTGCGAGTGGTGATGATGAGCAGCGTCGTACCTTGCGAGCCGAGCGAAATCGAACCCTTGTGAGTGGTGATGATGAGCAGCGGCGAAGGATAAAGAGGGAGAAGCGGAAAGAAGAAGAACAGAGAGGGAGAAAGAGATAAAGAGGGAAGGCTGAGAGAGACGTCGGTAGGTGGAAGGCTGAGGGAGAGAGACGTGGGTGAGAACAGAAAGGGAGAGAGATACGTGGATAGGTGGAAGGCTGAGGGAGAGAATATATCTCACATTTTCAAAAATCTTTGTCCTTCATTATGATTTGTACCGTTAATATATTCTTAGAATTGATCTCAGCCATTGGATTAAAATGTATCTCACATACATTTTGATACATTCTTCAAAAACCTTTGTATCTCACATACATTTTGATACATTCTTCAAAAACCTTTGTACATTTTGATACATTTTGATACATTCTTCAGCCAGACTCATAATAGACCGGCCATACAAAGGTCTTAATATTTTCTTAAATTCATATTTGAATAAGACTTAAACAAATGTATTGCCTCGTGTATGAGTATGACTACTACCTCTCTTCAAGTTCAAAAGGGAAATAAATGAAAATAATGTTTCCAACAATGATTAAGCAGTTAAAAAGGAGATATTAACTTCCCGGGAACAGCTATTATATGACTACTACATTTTTTTAGTCACGAAAAGCTCATATTTGGCAACGAAATTCTTTGGTCGGCAAAGAGTAACCCAAAAAATATGTATGGTCTTTGACAACTAAACTTTCTTTTGTCGGCAAATAATTGTATACGACGATCAAATTAAATTTTTCGTAGCCTAAAATATAGACTATCACTGACAAACAGGTTTTTGGTCACCTATTACTTAATATTTAGCACTAATTTTTTTTTAGTCGCCAATAAATAGCATATCTCAACTAAATTAATATAGTAGCTAAACTTCGAACCAACGTCGACTAATATATTTTTTAGTCACCAAAAATGACACTTTTGGCGACTAAATTTATTTTGGTTGCCAAATTTAGTCGCCAAATGTGTAATTTCTTGTAGTGAAGGAAACACAAACCCATATCATCCACACACACAAAGAATTACATGCCTAGAATCAAACCATGACAAAATTGGGCATTCAGCATGTTTAACTAATAAAGATAAAAACACATTAGCATGTTTTGTAGACCAAAAGAGAAATAGTTGTATAACCTAATTAGCATAATCTACAAATCTAAAAGTAAATATTTGAAAGGTCCCTAGAACACAAACTGAAGGAAAAAAGAAAAAGAAATCTCCCTTAAATTAGCAAAAACTTTAGTCTTCCCTGGGGATCGGTTAGTGCCCTCTTGATTTCTTTTTCAAAATGTCACTCAACAAAAGACTATATGATAATAATTATAAAGGAAACATGTCATAGTTGAACAAAAAAATAAGGAATAAGTGTGCGTATACGCTTTGCTAAAGAAACAACAGGAATTCACATGTAAATGAATAAAAGAAAATCCAAACTGAAATCAGTAAAAAATAAGAAAAAATAACACTTGCCCTCAATGAACACATTATCACTCTTAAAAAAAAAAAAAATGGATAAAGCAAACAGCTTATACATTTTCATTCATAAACCATTGATACATTTTCAAAAACCTTTGTGTTGGCATTGAAACAAAAAATAATGTTCATAAACACTCTTCATTATTTTTAAATAATTATCACTGATTTGCAACTCATGAAATCACTACCTATAGTCTTCTTTAAAATATATGTAACTCAAAGAATCCAACCCCCTACAATATGTCATTCACAACTCAAATATACATAAATCTGCATTATAATATAAGGAAAGAGTAATTATACCAATTGAGGTGAACATAAAGCTTCAAAATCACTTGCTTTGATCTCTGTCTTCTTCTTTTTTTAAATATTTATTCTATGTCAATAACATAAAATGTACAATATGAATTCACTTTTCTCTTACCTAAAATTGAAGTGAATTCTGAAGTATACAACCGAAACCCTATAAACTGCTTGCAATCACCAACCTTTTTTTTAGCAAATCTACATAAAGTACCCTTTTTTTTCACCATCACTTTTCTCAAATCTACATAAAGTACAATTTTTTTTAGCAGTATAATTAAAAAGAATTCTTTCTCCAAACACCAACCTTCCTTTTTAGCTCATTAACATAACAATTCTCCAAAAAAAATAATAATAAATAAAAGACAATGACCCAAAAATCAATACAACATTACAGCATACTCACTTTTATTATTCTTTTTTCAATCACAACTCAAATCTACATAATATGCATCATAATTATAACATACGGAAAGAGTAATAATACCAACTGAGCTAAACACAGAGCTCCAAAATCACTTGCTTTTTATATGCCAATAACATAAAATATACGACGCCCATTCATGTGCGTTCGAGGGTATCGAATCAAAACCCTAGTAACTCAAATCTACATAAAGCTTCATTTTTTGTGCAGTATAATTAAAAAAATCAAAACATAAAGAATTCAATTCATTCTCAAAACACCAAACTTCCTTGTTCGCTCATTAACATAAAAATTCTCCATTGGAAAAAAAGAAAAGAAAAGGACAATGACCCAAAAATCAATACGACATTACAACTTCAACATAAATGCAGACTCACTCCAATTCTATGTCAATAACATAAAATGTACAATGCGAGTTCAAGGGTATCGAATCAAAACCCTGGTAACTCAAATCTTAAAGCTTCCTTTTTTCCTTTCTTTTTTTTTGTGCAGTATAATTAACAAAATCAAAACATAAAGAATTCAATTCATTCTCAAAACCCCAACCTTCCTTGTTAGCTCATTAACATAAGAATCTTCCATAAACAATAATAATAATAATAATAAAACAATAACCCATAAATCAATATCAATATAAATGCCTACTACCTCCATTCTTCTTTTTTCAATCACAACACAAATCTAAATAAATATGCATTATAAACGTAATATAAGGAAAGAGTAAATATACCAATGGAGATGAACATAGTGCTCCAGAAAATAATTCTATGGGTATTGGAATCGAATTGGCTTGTTTTGTTTTTGTTTTTGTTTTTGTCAATCGAATTGGCTCCAGAAAATAATTCTATGTCAATAACTACCTCCATTCAACCACTTGTCTTGTTTTGTTTTATAATTCAACCAAATGTACAATTCGAATTGGCTTTCTTGAGATTAATAAAAAAAAATTGAAGCCAGTTCTAGGGTATTGGAATCGAAACCCTAGAAAACGCTCGGAAGCGAACATAGTATCCCAAAAAAATGATTACCCGATTCTTTATCCCAAATAGAGAGAGATGTATCTGTGAAACAGGTTAAAGCAAAAACATTAATAAACTTTGCTTGGAGAGAGAGAGAGAGAGAGAGAGAGCAGACCTCAGAAGATTCAGAGGGCTTGTGGGAATTGGGTTTCCAGAAACCGATTCCACCGAATCGACTCGCTGCCTCCTTCACAGACTCGAAAGGCGCTGACGTGTCGATTTCAGCCCTTATCTTCATCTTCTTCCCCGAACCCAGTTCAGCTTCGCTCTGTCTGAGTCCAATTTCGACACTTTTTGCTTCACCCCCAAGTGAATCTGTCTCAAGTGTTTCCGAAACAAATTGGGTAAAGCAATCTGAGTCCTCAGCAGCCATTGAAACCTCAATCCAAAACCTAAAACTTGTGGATAATGAACAATGATTATCCCAAATAGAGAGAGATGTATCTGTGAAAGAGAGATGTATTCAAGAACAGAGAGGGAGAGGTAGAGGGAGAGAGAGATAGAATGGGAAAGTGAGGAGGCAGACGTGGGTAGGTGATGATGCTTAGGGAGAGAAGTCTTGGATGGGAGATCTATTGATCTCAACCGTTAATATATTCTTAGAATTGATCTCAGTCATTGAATCAAAATGTATCTCACATACATTTTCATACATTTTTCAAAAACTTTTGTGCCTTATTATATAGATGATTAATAAAAGAATATAATATGTAATATTTTATAATATTATGATTAATATAAAAATATGAGTAGATGAAATATTATGTGAAGTAATTAAGAAATATAAAAAAATATTAAATAATGATTAATTAAAACATACATACACAGAATATTTCAAAAATATTAAATAATTTCCAGAGAGACAAACCCGTGAGTTCAGGATACAACCAGACTCCAAGTAAAAAAATTATAGTTTGATGTTAGGGCAACTATGTGTATTGTCCTGATTTGTTTTTTCTTTATTACATACAAATAGGATCTTTAAGTTCACAGCAACTTTTAAGAAACTGATTAAAGGATGAAGATTTATCCTAAAATACCAAATAATATCTCATAAATACAAAACCCTAATACCCCCCCCCCCCCCCCCCCCCCCCCCCCCTCCCCCCCCCCCCCCCCCCCCCCCCCCCCCCCCCCCCCCCCCCCCCCCCCCCCCACCCCCCCCCCGCCACTGTCACCCACCCACCCCCCGCCACCACCTGCCACCATCACCCACCACCACCACCACCACCAACCACTTGCTACCACCCGCCACCGTCACCCACCCACTCACCCACCACCACCAGCTACCCACCATCCACCGTCACCACTTTCCACCACCGTCTTTCGCCCCACTTGCCACCACTTGCTATTTCTAACTCTTTTTTATATTTTAAATTTTTTTAAAACATTTTGTCAATTACCAAACGCGTTTTTAGTTTATGTTTTTCTAAAAATAAATAAAAAATAAACAAAAATCAATTTATAAAATTTTTGTAAATATAAACTAAAAATTTAAACGTTACCAAACAGACCCTTATAGTTTGATGTTAGGGCAACTATGTGTATTGTCCTGATTTGTTTTTTCTTTATTACATACAAATAGGGTCTTTAAGTTCACAGCAATTTTTAAGAAACTGATTAAAGCATGAAGATTTATCCTAAAATACCAAATAATATCTCATAAATACAAAACCCTAATATATATATATTTTGTCATTTTCTGAAAGGATGTGCCTTAAGAGACGCCATGAGACTCTCTCTCTCTATATATATATTTTGCCCCTCTCTCTCTCAACTATCCATTTGCTATATCACACTACAAGGTATGGAAGACAAGTAGCCGTTGGCTCCATCTCCACACCAGACTCTTTATATGCATGGGCCTCCCCACTCTCTCTCATGCCCATTTGCTATATCACACTGCGAGACGAAGTAACCGTTTGCTCAAATCACCAGACTCTCTGCCTCTCTCTCTAGAATATCTATTTGCTATTCACACTGCGAGAGATGATGAGGAAGACGAACTAGCCATTGGCTCCATCTTCAGTCTTGCAGAAGGTTTGCATCTTCAGTTTTGCCGAAGAAAAAGGTTTGTATACTATCTTAGCGTGAGCTAATGATACTCTCTTTTGTTCATTTTTTTTTTTTTTACTTTAACATCTAATCATAATTTTTTTTTCATTTTCAGGGAAACTCTTTTAGCATGGATGTCACTCACGGCCCACCTACTACGGATGTTGAAAATCCTCCGATGCGTGCTACGGAGGTTGATCCTACTAGGGATCTTGAAAATCCTCCAAATCGTCCATTACCCGTGGGACAAGATGAAAATCTTGAGATAGAGCCTGACATGCCTCCTCTGGAAACCATTGTTCCTATCAAACTTGATGAGAAGACCATTGTTCCTCTCAAATTTAGAAAACGTGTGAAGTGGTTTGCCTTAGTTTTGTCAAATATTTCTCTAGCGGCATGCTTTCTAATAATTCCCAAATGTGTTTTCTATAAGGATTTATACTTGGGAAATACGACAGTCATATGTTTCGGATCACACTTCAATTTATGCATAACTTTCTTTTGTGCCCAATCATATATTGGGGTCCATTCACCGTCAACCCGAGATTTAGGTTTTTGTATAAAAGTTTTATTGAACTTATATGTCTAGTTGGGACATCTTTGATACTCTATTTTACTGCGCATCCTAGAGAGTTTCATCAACCCTTTAATGAACTGATTGACAATTGGAGTCACCATGTGTTTAGCCTATCATACTTTTTTTTTAATCCAAAATCCTACATCCAGACTTAGAGGTAGGATTTCCTACTGTCTTTTTAGACATGAGCATGCATTTTTCTATTGAATTATGCAGAAAGGTCAATCAGTATCTATTAGGTTTTGACATGTTTGGAGCATTTGTGCTTATAGTCTCTAACAATTTGTTAGAGAAATGTTTAGAGGAAATAGAAGAAAATGAAGCTGACCGTCATCGAGGTAGAGATGGATCCAATGGGGGAAACAATGGGCATAATGGAAAAGGCCCTCCAGGTGAAATGGTTGAGGTTGATGACACAACTGCTGAAGGTGTAGAAAAAGTTGAGGATGAAAAAAAAGCTGGTAGAGGTGGACCTAATGGGGGAAATAATGGTCATGATGAAGAAGGCCCTCTAAGGGAAAAGGTTGAAGTTGATGACACAGCTGTTGAAGGTGAAGAAAAAGTTGAGGATGAAGAAAAAGTTGATGAAAAACAGAATATTAAAAGTGAAGCACAACAGCATCTGGTTGATAATGAAGACACTGGTATAGCACAACATAATGACAAGCCGGTTGATAATGAAAGAACTTGAATACACCGTTTCTGAAATTCAAGAGCAAGTTGAATACAGTGTCTTAGACACTGTTCAATCTAATGCTGTCAAAAAACAGAATGTTGAAATTGAGGAGCAATTTGGTCAAATTGTTCAACACTGACAATGGCGAGCCGGTTTATAATGACAGTAATGGCTTCAAAACCACTGAGCATAGGCGAAGTAAAGTTGGAAGGAAGGGTCGAGTCAATCACCAACCTGGGAAGGTGGCTATGAATGTTGCCATAGTATGTGGCACAGCATTTATACTAATGGTGGGAATTGCTCGATCACGAAACTAATTTTATGTCATTTCATTTCAATTGTAGCTAGGAGGGAAAGTATTATTTAGTTTAGAGTGTTATTTTGCCAAAACAATGGGTATTTGTAGTTTCAAAGTTTTAAGTTATTTTATTTTATTTTTTTGTAAGTTAATTATGTTCTATTAGTTGTTTCTGATTATTTTGAGTGTTGTGTCTGGTTTATGTTATTGTAGTTATTTTCTTTGCTTTGTGCCAACCCAGTCAATGAATGTCATCACTGCAAATATCATATATAGTTTGTAAAAAAAAATATATATATAGTTATTGAGTATTTTTATTTATTTATTTTTATTTGTTTTGTGAGTTTAATTGTTAGTACATAATGCCCATTGTCATCATATTTTTATTAAGGTATACACTGACCTTTACAATATTTTTAGTACTTAAATGTACTAAGTTTGGCATTGAAAAATATATTGTATTATGTAACCATTTTTTTTTATCAGAAAAAAGGATAATATTTTATTAAATAAAAAATTACAAAATAGAAAAAAAAAAAAGAAAAAAAGAGAAGCATGAGGAGGCATATCAATTTTTTATTTTTTTTTTTAATTTTTTGAACAGTTGAGGCATATCAACTGAAAGAAGCCAAATGGCATAATGAACTTATAGACAAAATTCACAACTTCAAACTGCCTTAAAACAAAAGAGTAAATTGTTGATCCTGAAAGGAAACTTGCAAATTTAAATTGATTGAGAAATGAAAATTAAGTAAAAACAAGTTCTTGTGACTCTCACGTGAATTTGCGGTTGTTTGGAATATTTTCCTCAAATGTGTATGCATATGCCCCTGGCCATGGAGCTTCTGATGGACCGTAATTGGATTCTGTCTGTGGTGGCGGTGGTGGTGGTGGGAAGATCCTCAACCATGTGGCTCCACCACAGAAGTATAGCGGCACCACCACTGTGCTCATCACCCATGGCTTCTGATGGATCGTAATTGGATTCTGTCTGTGGTGGCGGTGGTGGTGGTGGGAAGATCCTCAACCATGTGGCTCCACCTCAGAAGTATAGTGGCACCACAAACTTCTTGTGTGGTGCTCGTCACCCACGACAAACTTCTTGTGGGCATCACTTTAATGACTCAATTCATATTTGTTCCCTTTGAATGTCAACTTTAGAGGCTTGGAATAGGTACCTCCACATGTTTTAGACCTTTGATTGTTGATGATTTAACTAAGACTGCCTCTCCAATATCCATAGAATTGGAACATCTTCCAGTCTTCCATAACAACACAACACGTTAGAATCAAATCAAAATTTCAATGGCTAGGATTGCAGTAAATCAACCAATTCATTATTAGCAATGGTTCATCCACGGAAAATTTTCCTCCCAAATCCCCCCACCATTCTGGAGGGTTCGAAAAAAAAATTTGTATGGATAAATCATTAATCTTATGCTTAAATCACTAACAGAGGCTCTGATTTTTGTTAAAGCTTCATAATCCCCTATTCCCTCATCATCCTTCCAAATTCAAAACATAAGACACAATAGTATAACCCCTTTTGTTTTGATTTCCTGTCAGATTGGTATCAAACTAATCAATTTTTTTAATTTTCCACTCCAAGAAGCATTGATATGGTTGTTTATTGATTATTTTACACACCAAGAAGCAATGATATGGTTGTTTATCCAATTGACGCAGTTGCTTGTTGAGCATGTGAATACAAATCATATTAATTTTATTAAATGAATTTATTTATTTATTTATTTCTGGAGGGTTCGAAAAAAAAATTTGTATGGATAAATCATTAATCTTATGCTTAAATCACTAACAGAGGCTCTGATTTTTGTTAAAGCTTCATAATCCCCTATTCCCTCATCATCCTTCCAAATTCAAAACATAAGACACAATAGTATAA